AGGCATTAGCTGTTAATCTTGTTCTTCTCTTTTCTTTTCTTTTAGTAGGAGTGGAGTTTGAACTTTTGCGCTTGTAAAGCAGGCGCTCTACCACTTGAGCCACACCTCCAGTCCATTTTGCTTTGGTTATTTTGGAGATGGAGGGCGGGGGTCTCACAAACTATTTGCCCAGGCTGGCCTCGAATTGTGATCCTTCTGACTTCAGCCAATCAAGTAGCTAGGATTACAGTAGTGAGCCACTGATGTCAGGCTCTTTTTCTATTTTTTTAAATTGTCATACAACCAAAATGACTATGTTGCATACAGTTATATGAATTTTTACACGTGTATAATGACAACTTTTTTTTTTTGGTTGTGGTACGGGGGTTTGAACTCAGGGCCTCACACTTGCTAGGCAGGCACTCTACAATTTGAGCTACTCTGCCAGCATTTACACGTGTATAGATTCATTTCCCTACCACCACAATCAGGACAAAGAATAATTCTTTCTTTTCATTTTATTTTATGGCGGTACTGGGGTTTGAACTCAGGGTGTCACGCTTGCCAGGCAGGTTCTCTACCACTTAAGCCACTCCACCAGCCCTCCAAATTGCCTTCATGTTAGTCCTTTATAGTCATACCTTGCCCCCAGCCTCAGCCCCTGACTACCAGCTGGTTTCCATCCCTGTCCTTTCGTTGTTTCCAAAACATCATATGCGTGGCGTCCTGCAGTACTGACCCTTTGGACACAGGCTTCTTTTACTCAACGTAGTGCTTCTGAGACTCCCCCAAGCTGCTCTGTTCAGAAGTTCACTGATAACAAAGAAAGATTATCACCTGTAACATTCCACGGTGTGAATGTACAACAATGTGCTCATCCACTCGGCCGGCAGAGGACAGTCGCATTATTGCCTGTTGGGGGCAATCAGGAACAGAGCTGCAGCTGGGCATGGTGGCTCATACCTGTAATCCTAGCTACTCAGGAGGCAGAGATCAGGAAGATCACGGTTTGAGGCCAGACCAAGAAAATAGTTCTTGAGACCCTATCTCAAAAATATCCATCACAAAAAGGGGTGGCGGAGTGGCTCAAGGTATAGGCCCTGAGTTCAAGTCCTAGTACCACCAAAAAAAAAAGAAAGAAAGAAAATAAACAGAACTGCTAGAAACATCCAAGCATAGGTTTTTGTGTGAACACAAGATCTTATTTCTCCAGGGTAAATACTTCAGAGATGGCTAGAGTCCAGGATGGCTAGATCACATGGTCAGCGTACAGTTAACTTTCTTTACACTTGACCTTAGCATGAAGGCCAAGAAGCAACTGTATCTATCTTTATTTAAAAGTGCCAAATCATTTCCTTGAGTGGCTGTGGCACTGCACGCTCCCATCAGCAATATATGAGAGGTGCAGTTGCTACACATTCTTGTCAGCACCTGGTGTTATCAGTGTTTTTTATTTTCGTCATTCTAATGGGTGTGCAGTTATCACTCATCATTTAATTTGCATTTTCTTAATGGCTGATGACATTGAACTTCTTTTGGTGTGCTGTTGGCCATCCACATCCTCTTTGGTAAAGTGGCTTTTCAAATCTTTTAAATTGTCTTCTTTACTGTTGAGTATTGAGAGGTTTTTTGGTTTTTGGTTTTTTTGGTAGTACTGGGGTTTTAACTAAGAGCCTCACACTTGCTAGGCAGGCGCTCTACCACTTGAACCACTCCACCACCAGCCCTGTTTTATGTTTTTTTGAGATAGGGTCTCGCTTTGAACCATGATCCTCCTGATCTCTGCCTCCTGAGTAGCTAGGATTACAGGCGTGAGCCACTGGCACCCGGCTTCTGAGAGAGAGGTCAATAAGCATAAGCTGAAGCAAGCAGAAGCCTTTCTCTCTCATCTTTCCCATTTCATCACAGATGAATGCCAGGTCTCTAAGCAGGGGAATATAGTCACATCAAACACAAAAGGCCACTCAGACTGCGGGAGAAATAATTACAAAGAAAGGATTGTGTTCCCTGGGTGTCATGGCACGCACCTGAAATCCCAGCATCTGAGGGGCTAAGGTAGGAGGACCGCAAGTTCAAGGGCAGCCTGGGCTACATAGTGAGACCCTGCCTCAAAAAAACAAAAGAGAAAAGAAAATCTCATGCCAACTCAGTGAAGCCTCTCCACAAAGACAGAAAAGATGGAAAAAAGTTTGATGATTGAGTAAGCCTTAAACCAGATGGCACTGTGTATCACAAGCAATCCACTAAAGAGATTTTAAGGACAGAAAGAAATCTCATCCTTTTATAAAGCCAGGCAGATGCATACATGTTCTCAAAATAACCAACAACTTACCCTCAAGTAAGAAAACTTGACAGTACCATATGGGGCACATAATTCACCCGAAGTTCACCTGGTGATTGAGGTGGCTATCTGTGAGTTAACTGTCTTTTTCTATAGGAAAAGTAAGACTCCTATCTCTATGACAAGCAGGTAACAACTTGGCATCAGGCATGAAGATGGAACTCTTACAGCTCTCTCTCTCTGCCTCCTGGCTGTCACATGGTGACCAGTTTTCCTACCATGCCCTTCCGCCATGCTTTGTCTCACCAAAGGCTAAAGTAGTGGGGTCAGTGGCCCATGGCCTGAAACTTTGAAAAATGACAGAACCATAATTAATGAGAATCAAGGGGAGTCTGCCATCTGTCCTCCCAAGAAGAGAACAAGGAAGGTAGAAGGAGATTCTGTCTACGTGTATATAGAACTGATGGGAGGCAAAAGCCCACAGAGACACAGACTATGAAAATGGTTTCTGGCAGACCTGAAGGGTAGAAATTTCACCACCTTGGTGGGACAGGCATCAATGACTTCTGATCAGTAGCGGTTCCTGCTGGTCCCCACTGGTGGTCCAAAATCAGCCTAATTTCCCTGAAAACCAAACACACAAAAATATTTCGATGTAAATGGTGAAAGTGTGGGTTGAAAGAGCAAGTTTTCTAGTCTGCGTTTTTAAGCCAATGATCTATCTTAAAATACAAGTGCGGGATTTTGCTATGTTGCCCAGGCTGGGCTGGAACTGAATCCTCCCACCTCTGTCTCCTAAGTAGGTGGGATTACAGGTGTGGGCTATACTGCCTGGCATATCACGCTGCAATTTTAACAACAACTGATATGCCCATCGTGTTTTCAAGCCCATATTTTAATAAGTTACGTATGTATGTGTAACACTAATCTCGGATTGATAAACTAGCTGCAAGAAGCATCCTTGTATAGAGTCATAGTGAAACTGGAGTTTTGGACTCAAGGCCCAAACTCCTGAGAGTCCATATGCCAGGTCTGACCACCACCCCTAAACGCCAAATAAAGAGGCTTGGTGAAGACAGAGAAGGTTTTTTACACAGCTCAGGACATGGCGTGGGCAGAGGCAGAGGAAGCATTTAGCTCATCTTCAGCCGTCTTGGGGTACAGACATGAGCTTAGGTTTACGTGGACAAAAGAACTGGGGACAGGGGACAAAGGTATGCATAGTTAAATAGGCCAGTCACAGGTGTGGTCTGGTTGGTCTCATGACTGGTGGGGCCGGCAACCTTGGTCAGGTCTAGAGGTCTGGTTGAGTTCTGGGAAGTTATCACCCGGAGGGAGAAATCTGGTTCCTGTTTGAGAGGATTCTTGGGATAATTGTCCTCACTGGGAGTGTGGCAGCTCGAGGTGGCTCCAGTTCATTGTCATAAAGATATTATCAGTTTTGTCCTTTTTGGAATGCAAGGTGATTGTAAAGTGACTGTATAGAGAATGGCTTAGAGCAAAGACAGATACAAAATGGAGATGGAGGTGCCAAGCTTCTCCTGTTTTTAGTTAATTTGTGGGCTCAAGTAAGGGGTCAGTGCTTTCCACCAAAAGCAACTCAAGCACTTCTTACAATAGGATTAAAATTCTAGAAATGAGGGAGAAAAGAAATTCCCACAGAGACAGGGAAATAGAAATGTTATTTTTGTTTACATTTCAAATAGATGGTTCCAAGTCCCTTAAGCAAACATAATTGCTTTTATCCAAAGAAAAACAAAGACTCCTATCTCTGTAACAAGCACATAACAACTTGGAGCCAGGCACTTAGATCCCATAGACAGGGAGCTACAGATGTAATTTTTGTTGTTTACATTTCAAAGAGGTAACTTCAAGGTCCTTAAGGAACATTTTTCCCTGGCTCGTAAAACTGGCAAGTGACCTACTTAGGTTTTTTTTTTTTTTCCTTCAGTGCTGGGGATTGAACCCACGGTCTTCAATATGCTAGGCAAGAGTTTCCACCACTGAGCTATCCTGTCTCTCTACCTAGCTTTTAAAAAAGATTTGCATACATCCTTAACGGACCTAAAAAATATTTACAAGTTTTCTGATCGAAATGCTCCAAGAAAAAGGACGTGTGAGTGTGTGTGTGTGTGTGTGTGTGTGTGTATCTTTCTTCCCTTTGACAACAGGGAAAATTCAACTGAAAAAAAACTTTTGTTTTTCCTACAATATCTGCACGCATTGACCACCACTGTGCTCCACTTCCGACCCACATTTCTCTCTTCATCTGGCCACTTATGACCTGCTTTTCAATACCCTCATTAACCACTTTTCTAAAGGAAGCCCCTGTCCCCCGAACAGCAGGCCACCCTTTCAAGGGCCAGACCTTCAGCGCCGGCCACACCAGAGACCCGCTTATTGTTAACGGGTATGATTACAGCCTCCTACAGCTGGGAAATAATGCGCATCATTTGGTCTGATTCCAGCCCATTTCAAAGCCGGTAAAACTGAGACACAGGAAAAATTCTACAGTATTGCATTTATGGACTTCTCCGCCTAGATCTTAAACCCCTGAGGTTTAAGAAAAAAAACCCAACACTTTCTTTATTCCATGGCACGATTGGGGTTAAACACCTAGCACGCAGTTCTCGCCCCGACTGCGCCTGCGCCAGTCTGGACACGCGAATCTGTTCCAGACCCTGACGTTTCAAGCCGCCCCTCCTAATCCGGAACACGACCCACATTCCGCTGGTCCTGTCTTGACAGGCGTGATCTCAGTCCAATAAGAATAGAGGACTGAGTTCCGCAGAGCCAACAGCGAAAGTCCGAGGGGCAGTGGAGGCGGTCTATGTGAGGAAACAAGAAGACAGGCCCAAGATGGAGGCGGTGGCGGCTGTAGCGGCGTGACAGGTGAGGGCGGGCCCGGCAGGATTTGGATTCTGGAGCAGCCGCCAGGCACCAGCAGGGAGCCCGGACCGAAAGCTCAGCTCCGGGATGGCTGCGCCTTGATCTCGGCGACCCCTGCCCGGAACTGGAGGAGTGGTTTGACCCGGGGCGAGACCATCATCGACAGCGGGGGTGGGGTGGGTAGACAGGAATCAGCGGGCAAGCTTGCGGTGATGGTTTCGCCCGCTGCGAGTGACCGCGCGCCTGCGCAGAGCCCGAAGACCTTCGGGAGGCGGGATCAGGCCGAATGAAGCTTGGCGCTTGCGGGTTGAGTGCATAGTTCACAGTTGCATTCTTAAACCCTTTGAAGTGTCTGATGACCCTTACCAAGTCCAGGAAGTATATGGGGATACAGCTCACTCCTGGGGTTACTTATTCTGGATCAATGTTTGACCCCCTAGAGAATTGGCTGATGATTCCCTTATTCTTCCTTCACCCTCCCCGCCTTGCCCGTCTCCCGCTGACTTTACACCAGTAACCTGTTTGTGACCTCTCGTTAGTTGTCAGGGAAAATTTTGGAGACCCTCCCCCACCTTACCTCCATTTTTCTTACCTAGACACCATTGTCCTCCTTTCCCCATGTCCTCTTATCCTCCAATTTCTCCCCATTACAGTCCCTAGTGACACTTCCCCTCATCATAGTGTCTGGTGACCCCCTCTGTGAACTCATCCCAGAGTCTGTTAACATCCGTTAGCCCCCTAATAGTCTGTGACCCTGCCATCAACATGTCGCCCCAGGGCTTAGGGGTGCCCACATTGTCCTTTAAAGACAATGGCCCCCATTCCCTCCAAACTAAAGCCAGTATCACCCCATCACTTTGTCTGAGCCACCTCCCTCCCACATTATCTGGTCACCCCTTCTCTAGTAAAAGTCAGGACAGCCTGTCCATGCCCAATATGTACCTGTCACTCCCAGGCCCCCAGTGCAGTGTATGTTGACTTCCTTGTTAGTCCCCATCAGAGTGGTATGTACTGTACCCTCCAGGACAGTGCGTGCTGCCTCCCAGCTGAGTGTTTAAGACCTGGGCACTCAAGAGAGAGAAGCAATAGGAGAGGCTGAACAGAAGAGGTAGTGGATGGACTTCAGGTCTTACGATTCTTGGGCTATTGCGTGGCAGTTGGGCTGCAGGGAGCAAAATTTGATTTTGTCCCCTGCCATTTTGCTTCCAGGCGGTCATTTTTGGCGCTCTGAATTTCTCCTTCGCCCACTCTTTTCTAGGAGCCCCATGGCACCTGCCCAGCCCCACCTCAGCCCATCTTGACAAAGTCTTAGGCTCCATGGAGCCGCCACGGGGCCCCCCTGCCAACGGGGCCGAACCGTCCCGGGCAGTGGGCACTGTCAAAGTGTACCTGCCCAACAAGCAACGCACAGTGGTGAGTCATGGGGCCCAAACTGGCAGGGGGTATAGATGGACCCAGTTTTAAGTCTGGGATTGGAAGAGTGACAAGGGCCGGGGTGGGGAGCATTACTGAGGGATGGAAGAATCAGCAGGCCCACCATTTCTGTACACACATGCACAGGTGACTGTCCGGGATGGCATGAGCGTCTACGACTCTCTAGATAAGGCCCTCAAGGTGCGGGGCCTCAATCAGGACTGCTGCGTGGTCTATAGACTCATCAAAGGGTGAGTGTGGTAGCTCCAGGCCACCCTTGGGTGTCTTACCTAGTGTCATCTCATTCCATCTTGGAGTTTCCCATTAGTTCAGGCAGCCCGTGAGTCCATTCATGGTTTGTTTCTTCATTAGTTCATTGGCCTGGAAGGGCTGCACCTCGTTCTTACTTTGGCCCTGAGTCCTCACCCGCCTCCGTCACCTCCTCCCAGAGTTCATCAGTTTTGCTCTTTCATGTTTTCAGGAACTCATCAACTGTCTCTTTCCTCAGTTTCCCCATTCTCTGCTGAGTTGGACCTCACTCACTGGCCTTCCTTTTATTCCTCTGCTCAGGAGTTCCTTCATTTTTCATCCAGTTCATGTTTTACATTTTAGCCCTTACTTCCATGCCTCACCAGCCCCTTTTTTTGGGCCAGCTTAGCGTTTCTGAGATTTAGTTTTGTTGCCTTTCACCTTGTGACCCTTCAGATAATCCCCTTGTGACCTTGGGCTTGTCCCTTTACCCCTCTCAGCCTATTTCCCCATCTGCAAAATGGGGGCAAGGCTAGTGATTAATGAGAATTCAACAGACCAGATATCAATCCATGGACCCCGGGGCTTCGAGGGGCTTTGGGGGCTCTCCTGCCTCCCCCGAGCCCCTGTTCATGCCCCCTATAGGCGAAAGACAGTCACTGCCTGGGACACGGCCATTGCACCCCTGGATGGGGAGGAGCTCATCGTGGAGGTCCTGGAAGACGTGCCCCTGACCATGCACAACTTTGTGAGTGCAGCAAGGAGAGGGGAGGTAGGCCGTGGGAGGCGGGAGGGAGAGCCCGTGGCCAGGCCTCCACCATCCCCACTCTGTGGCAGCAGGTACGGAAGACTTTCTTCAGCCTGGCATTCTGTGACTTCTGCCTTAAGTTTCTGTTCCATGGCTTCCGCTGTCAAACCTGTGGCTACAAGTTCCACCAGCATTGTTCCTCCAAGGTCCCCACAGTCTGCGTTGACATGAGTACCAACCGCCGACAGTGAGCCCAGCCTAGGGTGGCTGGGGGGATGGGGAGGACAGAGGCCTCTCCACAGGCCCTTACAGTCGGCTGACTCACGTCCTCTGCTTTACACCCCCAATGCCCTCAAGGTTCTACCACAGTGTCCAGGATTTGTCCGGAGGCTCCAGGCAGCACGAGGTCCCCTCAAACCCTTCCTTGAATGAGCCACTAACCCCCCAGGGTCCCAGGTAGGCATGACTTAAGGCTACGGGGGAAGAAAAAGATCTGGGGGATCCTGTGAACCCCAAGCCATACTTGTAGTCATTCATTTAGTTGACAAACATTTATTGAGCTTGTGCAAGTGTGAGTGAGGGCGTGGAGTGAGGGTCCTTGAGCGAGATACCTGATGGCTCTGGAGTCAGGGTTTTCCTCAGTAAGGAAAATAGTCCTGTGCGCCGCACGGGGCTCTGGTGAGGAGTGCGTGACCTAAGATGCGTCCAGTGCTTAGAGCAGGGTCTGCTACAGAGAAGTCAGCTCTTATTACTAACTGGGTTTATATCTAAATATATATATGTTTGTGTTTATATTATAAATACATATATATAAGCATCTAACTCCTCTGTTCATCCTTCCCGTATAATCATGCTCGAGTCCTTTTTGAAATACACATTTTCTTATAAATTACTTCCCTCTTACTTCTTTTATAGTAAGTATCACACGATAATATGTATTCCTGAATATAGACATATATGTCTTACAGTTTGCACACTCACGTGGTATATTTATGTCATGTCATGTGTCGTAATATTTTTGCGGTACTGGGGTTTGAACTCCTACAGAATATTTGTATGTGCTATATAAAAAGCTAAGGTTAGGGCATTATTATTGTTGTGGATTAATGACCTGAATTTCATTTCAGAATAGTGAAAGGAACATAGAAAATGTTTGTAGCATTATGTATAATCTACAATCTATTATACAATATATTATCTATTAATAATAAATAATATATGTTAATATAATTTCATGTATAACACGTATATATAACAACATGATAATATGTATTTTTTAAACTTCCATTTTAATGTAGATAATACATAATCTATTTGAATAATAAATGGTATTATAATATGTAATAAAATACCTTGGCTCAGTGGTAGAGTGCTTGCCTAGCCTGTGTGAGGCCCTGAGTTCCATCCCCAACACCACAAAGAAATTATCTTACCTTTTCCCCAACTATCTTTGTCCTTCACTGTCCCTCCTTTAGGCCTCTGCTCCAAAGTCACCTTCTCTGAGAAGCTTTTCTTGACACACCCAAGGAAAATTTCTCTCTCTTATTTTGCTTTAGTGTTTTCCTTTCTTGTACCTGTCACCAACAGGCATGTTCTGTACTCTCTTTTTTATTCCTCTCTCCCTCTGCTGGAATATCAGCCTCCCAAGGGGAAGAACTTTTATTTATTTTGTCCACAGTTTCACTTCCACCACCTAGAATGGTAGTTGGCACACAGCAGCACTTAATAAATGTTTCTTGGACAAATACTAGTACGACCAGTGGACCTCCGCTCTGTGTGAGCTAAGTGCACATTCAGGGTGGCAGGCATGGGCTTTCTTGCCTTTCTGATTCATTCTGCAGCGTTTTCACAGCCTTTCCCCCATCAGCCCCCGCACCCAACTCTGCGACTCGGAGCACTTCCCCTTCCCTGTCCCAGCCAACGCCCCCCTGCAGCGCATCCGCTCCACGTCCACTCCCAACGTCCACATGGTCAGCACCGCAGCCCCCATGGACTCCAGCCTCATGCAGGTGGGTGCCAGAGGGGCACTGGGGGAGCGTGGGGCAGGGGCAAGCCCATTCCTGTTGTCTTCCATCACCTCGCCTTGACTCCTGCCCCTCTCTTTCTAGCTCACGGCCCAGAGCTTCGGCACCAATGGTGAGTGCCCTCACCGCCTCCTGCACCCTCTGCACCCTGCCACCCCCTTGCCTCCACTTACGTCCTTTTCCCAACCATAGCTGCTGGTGGTAAAAGTGGTGATGGAGCCCCCCGGGGGAGCCCTAGCCCTGCTGGCATGCCCTCGGGGAGGAAGTCCCCACATTCCAAGTCACCTTCAGAGCAGCGGGAACGGAAGTCCTTGGCTGATGAAAAGAAGAAAGTGGTACGTTTGAGGGGAACCTTGGGGGGCACCATGGGCTGAGTAACGTGGCTGGGGGGTGTGGACAGGTCCCTCAGGTGCCACCCGTCTGGCCCACAGAAGAACCTGGGGTACCGGGACTCAGGTTATTACTGGGAGGTGCCACCCAGTGAGGTGCAACTGCTGAAGAGGATCGGAACGGGCTCCTTTGGCACCGTGTTTCGTGGGCGGTGGCATGGCGACGTTGCCGTGAAAGTGCTCAAGGTGGCCCAACCCACAGCTGAGCAGGCCCAGGCCTTCAAGAACGAGATGCAGGTGCTCAGGTGAGGTGACTTGTGGGCATGAATGAGGCTGCAGCTGTGGCAGGCAGAGCATTGGCACCTCTTGGGGAAAAGCTGGGCTCGGGTGTCTCCTGAGGGTCACCTGCATTTGTGTCATGCTGGAAGTATGTTCGTTAGTTGTTTCTCTCCCAAGGATACCCTTTGACCTCTGCTTTAGAGACATGTTGAGAGAACCACTGATGATGCTGTGGTTGGTGTTTGGGTTAATACTGATGTGCATTGGTGGCTCTGCCAATAAAATGTGGGTCTTCTCGCTTGCCTGCTGTGACGGGGTCTGGCCACATGCCATCACTGCTGTGACCACTGGCACGTTTGTGAGGAACAGAATGTGAGGCAACCACAGTGCCAGAAATCTCTCATCCTGTCCTCCCCTCTGCTGCGACATTCCTGTTCTGTTTATCATGGTGCAGTCCTTTAAATGCCAAGAGCAATATTGTTAATTATAATCATAACCACAACGTAATTGTTTTTTCATTATTATAATTGCTATAGTTAAAGTGTAATTAGCACTATATGGATTTATTCACACTGAGAAACCCAAGGGCCACACCCTTTTGGCCACTGTGGCTACTGTGTAGCATAGCACTAGATACCTATTCTCTGATAGGCAGGACCTCATCCATTTGTTTGTTTGTTTGTTTGTGGAAAGCAGGGTCTCGCCCTTGTTAAGAATGGACTTTACCACTGAGCTACTCCCCCAGCCCCCAGGACAGTATAGTGTCTGCCATTCTGGGGAATGCCAGCACAGGCTTTTCCCTTCTGTCAAATGGACACAATGATGTAACAGTCAATGTCATCGAGATGACTAGTGCTGTATAAATAGCTTTCCTCATAATGGATGCCAAAGTAAGAAAGGTCTGTTCTCGGCTCCTGTCTGTGAAACGCAGTGATGTGCTCTGTTCATAGTTCAGCCATGGTCTTAGTGCTGGAGGGAATCCCCATGTAGGGTGTAGCCAGTACTAGAGCGTGTGCTTAGCATGCACGAGGCTCTGGGTTCCAGCCCAAGCACTAGAAAAACAAAAAAGCAGTCCTGATGTGGGCAAGCCTGCCAGCACCAGCAGTGTTGTTTGTACTTGTGTTCCGATTTCTAGCTGTGGTTAACACTTCTATAAGAAACAAAGGTTTTCTCATAAACTAGGGTAAAAGGATTCATAGGTGACTTCTGTGAGATAGATCCAGGTACCCAGGGGCAATGACAATAAAGACAGTGACATTTTCAGAGCACTTACTGTGTCCAGCTATGTCCTAAAGACCTTACTGGATGTTTACTCACCCCACCCAATATCCCTATAAGATAACTACTGTATGATCATAGTTTTACAGTTGACAAACGTAAGGATCAGAGAGGTTAAATGTTCTCCCCAAGGCTGCACAGTGAAGTGTTGATTGGAACTGAGGAATAACATGAGTCTTTACCTCTAGGCCTCTCATGGTGATTAATAGGCTGTAATCCTCACTTGTCACCCATTTTGATCTTGAAGTTATCAATATAATGATATGTCAGTGAAGAAGGTTGACACTCCACATTCTCATGCATAAAATGGCCACAGGCCCAGGCAGTGGTCAGAGTCTGAGGTGGAGGGAATTAACAGTTAGCAATGCTGCTGCTGGGCAGAGCGTGGGAGCGGCAGTCCCTCCCACCAGCTTTGGTTGGGAGACTATGATGAGGAACTCTGTCTGCTCCGAGCAGAGAATGGCAGGCCAGCAAGCATACGTCACAAATTAGAATCATTGAAGGTCTGGCTCTGAGCACCCTAAACGACAGACAGGATGAAACAAATGACAGACAAGGCAAGGGGCAGTGCTCTTTCTGGTGTTCGGTAAGCACATGGCTATTGCTCTTTTTCCTCCCTCCCCCCAACTACCCTCCTTGCCTGCAGGAAGACACGACATGTCAACATCTTGCTATTCATGGGTTTCATGACCCGGCCAGGGTTTGCCATCATCACACAGTGGTGTGAGGGCTCCAGCCTCTACCACCACCTGCACGTGGCCGACACGCGCTTCGACATGGTCCAGCTCATTGACGTGGCCCGGCAGACTGCCCAGGGCATGGAGTGAGCCTCCCCTCTTGGGTACTGGGGGTGGGGGGGGAGTAGCCTGCAGCCAGTTCACCACCTGCTTCTGCCCCCACAGCTACCTCCATGCCAAGAACATCATCCACCGAGACCTCAAGTCTAACAGTATCTACCTGTCCCTGGCTGAGATTGGGGTGGGGCCATGACGGGGTGAGGGCTTAGAGGGAGGGAGGGCTCTTACGTGTGGGTTTCTGGGGGTGAAGAGGGAAAGGCATGTGTCACATGGCTCCTTGCCACGTGGCAGAGCCATAGATGGTGAAGGGGACTTTAATGGAAGGCTCTTGGTTAGGAGTCAGAGGTGTGGCTGGATCAGTGCTATTCCTGGGGACTTTGGTCAGGGTGTGAGGTGTGGCAGTTGTGGAGGACATTACAGGGAGTTGCTGATCAGTGTCAGGCGTGACAAGTTTGTGCCATTCAAGGGGCTTCCTGGTCAAGGAGTCACAGTGAGACCAAGTATGGAGGGCATTAATTGTATGAAATTGTGGTCAGAGGCATGACTTGTGTGGGACATTAATGGGAATCCCCTAGTCAGGGTGAGAGGCATGCCTACTGGGAGTCTCTGTAGTGGCCCTTGACCCTGGCGGACATCTTCCTACATGAGGGGCTCACAGTGAAGATTGGTGACTTCGGCCTGGCCACAGTAAAGACTCGGTGGAGTGGGGCCCAGCCCTTGGAGCAGCCCTCAGGCTCTGTGCTATGGATGGTAATCCTGGGGTACATGGGCTTCTGGTTTGGGACATTCAGGACCAAGCAGGGACGGGTGCCTGTGCCAGGTGTGGCTATCTAGACTGCTTGTTTCATCTGTGGGTGACTCAAGTTGTACCCAATGTAGCCAGAAGGATCTGGGACTGTGGGTCAGCTGTTTGCTGACTCCCATGGTTTCCCTGCCCTGTCTGGCCTATCGAAGGCAGCTGAGGTGATCCGTATGCAGGACCCGAACCCCTACAGCTTCCAGTCGGACGTCTATGCCTATGGGGTTGTGCTCTATGAGCTCATGACTGGCTCGCTGCCTTACAGCCACATTGGCAGCCGTGACCAGGTGAGCCCCACGCCTTACCCACAGTTTCTCTTTGGGCCTCCACACTCCAGATCCCCTCGTTTGTGCAGACCAAGAATGCCACACTTGCCCCAGAAACCTAGAGTTTTCTGGGATGTCCTGTACCAACTCCCCTCCTTCTCCGACATCTACATACCCCTGGGACAAGCCCTCAAATTCCAGATTCCTCTGAATCCTGATACCCAGAATGCCCCTAGGCCCCCAAATACCCAGAAACCCTATGGTTTCTACACACCTACACTCTTCTGCTCTGGAAACTCAAAATACTACTAGTCTCTAAAACTTCTGAATTCCATTTCTCCCACAAACAGTCCCTATGTGCTTCCAGAATACTCTCAGATGCCCATAGTCACTCAGGCTTTGGGCGGGCTTTGGGATCCTGGCACCAAAATGGTCTAGGCTTCAGACTCTCACAGTTCTCCATGTTCACGACCCAGAACCTCAGTCTCTCACTTGGACTTCAGGGTCCAAGTGTTTGGGCCCTAAACACTTATAACTGCGCAGACCACATGGACTCAGACATCTAGGCCCCTGATCTTGCAGGAGTGTAAGTTCCCAAGACCCAGAATTCCATGTTTTCCTGAGACTTAGTACTTTCTAGGTTCCTAAGCCCCCTAGAAATCCACAGACCCCTAATTCTTTGGGCCCCATAAATCTACAATCCCAATACCCCAAATTTAAATTTCTGTTCTATAAGGAGAGAATCCTTCCTCCCAAGTCCTGGGAGACCCAGAATCTTTTGTGCACAATACTAGAGCTCCCCCCTCAACTCCCCAAAATGAGCCTGTCTTCCTTAAGACCCAGAATTCCCTTCCCAGTCCAAACCCAGGATCACCCCATTCCTCCCTGCAGATCATCTTTATGGTGGGCCGTGGCTATCTGTCTCCAGACCTCAGCAAAATCTCTAGCAACTGCCCCAAGGCCATGCGTCGCCTGCTGTCTGACTGCCTCAAGTTCCAGCGGGAGGAGCGGCCCCTCTTTCCCCAGGTGAGTTGGATACCAGGTGGGGAGGACTCAGAGATGGAGGCAGGTATGAGCCACATCAAAGGCTCAGAGGTGTTCTGTGTGTGTGTCCATTGCCTGAACTCTGGGGGTGTTGGGGTGCCCATGGGACAGCAGACACTCCTCCTCACCCCCACCTGCCCCCAGATCCTGGCTACCATTGAGCTGCTGCAGCGGTCACTCCCCAAGATTGAGCGGAGTGCCTCAGAACCCTCCCTGCACCGCACGCAGGCGGATGAGCTGCCAGCCTGCCTCCTCAGTGCAGCCCGCCTTGTGCCTTAGGCCCTACTTCCCAGCCACCAGGGAGCCGATCTCAGCCCGTCGCCAGTGTGCTGCCGCCTTGATACTGCCTCAGGATCCCCATCCCCGCCCTGGGAGATGCGGGGATCCCCACATGCTCTTCCAGTTTCTCTGGAATTGGGGGAACCCCCAGAGATTAGACCCCTGCCTCTTCCATAATTTGATTTCCTCTTGGCTTTGGGGATACTTCTAAATTTGGGGTGCTCCTCCGTCTCCAATGGCTGGGATTTGTAGCAGGGATTCCACTCAGAACCTCTCTGGAATTTGTGCCTGATGTGCCTTCACTGGATTTTGGGGTTCCCCAGCGCCCCATGTGGATTTGGGGGGTCCCCTCTGTCTCTCCTGCCATTCAAGGACTCCCCTTTTTCTTCATCAAGAAGCACAGAATTCTGCTGGGCCTTTGCTTGTTTATTTTGCTTCCCGACTCTTCTGTTGGGGTTCAGAGCCGGGGACAGGGTCGGGGAGAGTCCAGGCAAGGAGTGGAGGTTGGGAGGAGGTGCGGACCACACAACAGCGCCACTGCACGCATCACCACAGGCAGCACGATGAACGAGGACCACGTATGCCAAGCACGGCACAGGAGGAGGTCACGTCAGTCACAGACACAGACATCACGCAAAGGGGGAAGTGGGAGACCACTAGCCTTCCATGTGCAAAGGATTCTGGGAGGATAGGTAGAGTTTGCATATTTAAAGACAGCTGTCAGAGGCAGGAAACGGGGGAGGAGATCCCTGGGAGAACTGAGGGGTCCTAGAAGTGGGAGGAGCTCCCAGTGTGCTGAAGAGGGTTGAGAGGAGCAAGTGAAGGGAAATCCCTGCGGGCTGGGGTGAGCGGCATTTGAGGATCTCCCTCCAGGGAGATGGGAGATCCGTGGAAAGAGGCTCAAAGGAGTTTCTTGAGGAATTGGAAACTTCTGCTTAGAAACAAGGTGTGCTGGAGAGGTTCAGGACGGTATTTGGGAGCTTCCAGAAAGGAAATCACCCTTTCCAGGTACCAGGAGTGGACTTCAGGAATTTGGAGGGTCTAAAACAGATCTTGAGGTGACCAGGGGCAGGGTTCTGAAGGATTTGGGGATCCCTAATGTGAGACCTGGATTAAGGACCAGGTTTCTCAAGGGACTTGGGCATCTTGAGGAATGAGAAGTGGGATGTTGGAGAACCAGGAGAGGGGTCCTCAAGGGATTTGGAGATTCCAAAACTGAGAAATGGACTCAGGGCCCAGAGAGGGTTGCCCAGGGATTTGGGTTCTCAGAGTGGGGTGTCAGTCGGAGAAGAGGCTGGCGAAAGACTTCCTCAGGCTGCGGATGGTCTCAGCTTTCACCTCGTCCTGGCTAAGGCTGGGCCTGGGCGGGGCTGGCTCTGGAAGGTTGAAGGCATTGGTCAGAGACTGGGATTTGCTAGAGAGAGACAAGGTGGAGGCGTGGGAGGAAGGGGAGAAGAGGAAGGGGAGGAAGGGAGAGAAACACAATGTTACCCCAGGCCCGGCCCCAGCCCTGCCCCTCTGATCCTGGGGCTGTGCCTGTGACCTTCCCACCCACCACAGGGACTGGACCCTGATGGATTCTCCAGGCTGGGAGGACTCTGGAGTGGGTGGAGCCGGGGCCAGGGAGCTCAGAAGTGGCCTGCGCTGGGCGGACTTCGGAGCAAGGTGAAGGAGGGTGGGATTGGTGCGAAGAGTCCTGGCCAATCCTAGGTTCATTCAGTGTGAAGGGGGAGACGAGAGGGAGGTTTGCAATCTAGGAAGGCCTGGGAGGAGTCACACAGTGTAAGGGGCAACATTTGGGTGGGGCACGAAAGACTTTTGAGCTGGGGGGTGGGGCTTGAAATACACTCCAAGAGGCAGAGAGAGGATGGTGTGATGATCTGGGAGGAGACTGAGATGAGCCCGGAGGGTTTGGGTCGACTGAGAAGAATGAAGTGACAGTGCCTACGCGTTTCAGGGATGGGCTGGGAGGGGAAGGCGCGGGCGAATTCGGCGGAGAAGCCGCTGAGCTGGGCTCGCTGGGCAGGGAGCTGCTAGAGGTGGGTCTGCCAGGTGCCTGCATGAGCAAGGGCCTGGAACGGGGACTTTCCAGAGCCTGTTGGGAAAGGACTGGAGGAAGCTGAGCTGAAAGTGGAGTGTAGGAGTGTCTGAGATTCTGGCACCAAATCCCGGGGATGGAGACCAAGGGTCTAGATGGAGGGAGAACACAGCCGGAGTCGAGGTTTGGCTTAGGCAGCAGGGTTCTCCCAGCCAACGAGACCTGGGTTTGCCAAGCATGGGGTCTAGGGCTGCCCTACCGGGGCTGCTTTGTCAGCAGCAAGACGAAGGCTGCTGTAGGGGTCCCCTTACTTGAGCCCGGGGTGCGGGGGGGCCCCGGCGGCGGCGGCGGCGGCGGCTGGTGGCACGTCCTGGCTGGGTTTCTGAGCCAGCTGTGGCTTGGCGGGACGTCCGGCAGGACCTGGTCCGCTGGGCCGGGGCTGCTGCGTGGTGGGTGGCCCGGTGCGAGGTCCTGGACCTGCCTGGCTAGCCTGGCGTGTGGGGCCAGCGGGGCCTGGGGGTTTCTGGGGAGGGCCCTGGCGCTGCTGCCCACCCGGTGCGGCTCCCGACGCCTTTGGTGGAGCCGGACCGGAGACAGATGTCTGACGGGTAGCCTGTGGAGGGCCTGCCTGGCGCTGAGGAGACGGGGAGGCAGGTGGGCGGGCTGCAGGAGGCGCCCCCGGGCCTCCTGCCACTGGCCGGGATTGGCGGCCTTGACCCTGGGTCATCGGTGCGGCCTGGGATGCCGGCTGCTGGGGCGCTGATGTGGGACTTGGTAGGCGCTGGGGCAGAGGGCTGCCAGCTGGGGGTCCAAGGCCCGAAAGGTGCTGCTGACCCTGCGGGGGCGGGCGCTGCTGCAGTGGGGGTCCTTGGCGCTGGGGGCCCGGACCTGGCTGTGGAGGGCCACCTGGTGGACAAAGAGAGAGAAACAGTGAGAAGGTGCTAGTCAGCGTCCCAAGGACCAAAGACAGTAAGGGGACTGTCACTTACCCTGGGGTGGGGGTCGTTGCTGAGCCGGGGGGCCCGAAGGCTGCTGGGAGGTCTGGCGGCCTAAGGGCAGGGCCCCTGGGGACTGAGTCTGCGGCAGAGGAGTGGGACAGGAAAGGTTAAAAATAGTTACCAACCAGTGGACCATGGGCCAATCCGAATGACATAGGTTCCCTGGGTGCTGGGTGTTGCCCCATTTGTGGGCAGCCGTGATGATGTGGTGTTATGAGTTCTTCACCCCATATTCAGGTCGGGAGGCACTGGGGGATGTCAGGGCAGCAGCTATTTATTATTGGTTTGAACCAATGGCAGTTGCCACCACGTGTCCATCAAGGTGACACTGTGGCCTACTGATTATCTGCTCAATGGCATTGTCCCTGCCACTAGCACAATGCCAAGGGCCTGACCTGGCTGTGGGAGCCCCTGCCCGGGGAGGCATCCCTTTGCCGCTGCCGGGGCAGAGCCTGAGCCATCTTGCTGATCACAAGCTCCACGATGAGCTGCTTGTCTTCATCCTGGTGGTCGCCAATGAGCGGCATGGAGGAGCCCACCACCTGGGGAGGAAGAGGAGAAGTGCATGGGAGGTGGCAGTGGTTTGGCAAGCTTGGGCTCCTAAGAGCCGCTGACTGCATATGAGGAAGGTTCCAAGAAGCTTCAGAGCAGGGTCTGCAAATCAGGGCCAGGAGCCAAATTCGGCCTGCAGTCTGTTTTTGTATGTCCCACAGCTAAGGGTGGGTTCACTGTCTTTCTTTTTTTTATTCTTTGAGATAGGGTCTCCCCTTGAACTTATGATTCTCTCACCTTTCCTCCTGAATGCTGGGATTATAGACCCATGCTGCCATGCCCTACCAGCTCTGATATCTTTTTTTTTTTTTTTTGGTGGTACTGGGGTTTGAACTCAGGACTTCATGTTTGCAAAGCAGGAGCACTACCGCTTGAGGTGCACCTCTCGTCCTCTGATATCTTTTAATGGTTGAAAAACATCAAACGATTTCATGACTTGCGAAAATGACATGAGATTTAAATCTCAGTGTCTGTGAGACATAAGCCCCCTTATGTCTTTACATCTTGCTTGTGGCTGTTTTCACAGAGTCCAGTCAACGCAACAGAGACCACATGGCCTAACATCTGTACTGTCTGGTCCTTTACAGAAAATGTCTGCCAGTCCCAGCGTCAGAGTTGGCTAGGCGCTCTTTTACAAAGGGCTTCACTATTGGCCCAGTTCACAGAACACTTTAAAGATAACTAAGTGCTTCGCCATTCACCAAGATGTCTCCATTCACAGAGCATTATATACTTTAATGAGTGATTTTGCAATTCATTAAGGATGTTCAAGTTCACAGAGCAGACTGGAGTTTACTGGTTTGCTATTTGCTAGGGATGTTCCAGTTCACCAGGTACTTTACTGCCATTCCCTGAGGATGTCCTGAGCTGCATGGTTTGGAGTGTTGCTGTCATGCCCCACCCTTTCCTCTGCCCCACTGATCCCAGGGTGCCCTCACCTCAATGATGTGATCCCTTCCGTCTTTGCCATGCAGTGCTTCCACAGCGCAGATGTCCAGTCCCCCGAAAATCTCCGAGCATGTGTCTACCCACAGCTTGTATCTGCCATGACAAAGGGCAGGGCAGCCTGTCAGTACCTGGCCCAGTTGGCCATGCTCCCGCCCTCCCTTTCCCCATCCCCACCTGTCAGACATGGCGATCTGCTCAAGCATCGCAGAGCCTGTGTTGGTCTTCCAATTCCCTGACACTGACGTCCTCCTGGGGATGAAGAGGAAGAGGCTCAGGGTGGGGTCCTGAGCTGCAGGGCCCAGAGCAGGGACCCCTGCCCAGTCCTGGTCCCTCCACTCACATGTAGGCCTTGTAGTTCTGCCCAATTTTCTGGACACGCACATCATATTTGGCATCGATGAAGGGTTCGGCGGTGGCATATGTCTTGGTCAGTGCCACAACACTTGCAATGTCTTGGAAGTCATGCTGGTTGTCCACCTTGACCTGTGGGCACAGGGATGGGGATCAAGATAGCCACAGGAAGTGGGGGCACCAGGAGGAGGGGTGTGTGAGTATACAATGATAAGATGGGCATGCCGAGGCACTGAGGCACTCCTGTTTTGTACACGTGCCACACACAACCCCAAAGTTGGGTTATACTAGTCTGTGAGCATGCTAAGAACCACTGAATAGCCACATTAAGTGGGTAAATTGTAAGGTACGTGAATTATATTTTAATAAAGCTGTGAAAGAAACTTTGTGTATATAAGGACATATGCATATGGGCACCCAGACACAAACTCAATTGTACACACAATATACAAACATATAGAAGCCAGGAAAGCCAGGGCACACTCAAACTTACAAATGACAAGTCTGCTCACTACATACACACAGACAAAATCAGCTGCATGGAAAGCATACTAGACCCAAGACCCTGGAACATAAGAGGTGACGTGATGGGTGTCAAGCACACCAACCAGCACAATAAAGGGACACACAAATTTGATTGAATACACGATAGAGAAATGGGCTGGCAAAATCAGTGGAATATGTGAAAACAAAACTGCAAAGAGATGACAACATCCCAGGTCACACAAAACAGAATCACTGGTGTGCACTGAATACACAAAACACATCTACCTACATATGCACAGTGCCAAGGAGCATACACTGCCCAAACACATGCGTACATGCATGTCCCCAGGTGGGGACTCTGGGGACTCACCTTGCCCATCCCAGAGTGGGCATGCCCCATCTTCACAACCACAGGGTACGTTGTACTGCTGAGCTGGTGGGAACAAAGGCAGAAGAGAAGGGGAATGGTTAGGGCAGCAGTGCTGCCCACCAAGGGTGGAAGGTTCTCAGTGGCCCACTCCAATATGCACCACCTTAGGAGCCATTTTGCTGAAAGGCAGGCCACAGACAGGCAGACAGCAGTTAGGAGTCACACAGCACCTCTGAGCCCAGAATCCAACCCAGAGCCCTGCCTGCCTGTCCTTTTCTCCATTCCCTAAGTCCCAGACTTCCCACCCCTGCTTTCCCAGGCAGAGGCACAGGCTAAGTGTGTGGGACTTTACCAGAAAAGAGAAAGTTTGTTTTTACCGGGAATGGATGAAATCAAAATGAGTGAGTGAGTGTGGGGGGTGGGTCGTGGTGGTTAGCATATAGCAATGGACCTCTCAGCCAAGTCTTCTATGTAACACACACACACACACACACAAACTTAGAGACACAAGCTCTCAGAACTCAGATCTACCCAGCCAAATCCAGAGATGCTCAATCATGTCACAATGGACCACCTAGCTCTGGGGTCATTCTGCCAGCTGGGTGCTCGCAGCGCGGGTAGCACACACTTCACAATCTCAACATACAATCAGCACTTTGGGGCACACGCAGAGGCTCCCTTCCCTCACCCAAACCCACTTAAAAGGATCACCTGTGCAATATAGAGGCATACACAGCTCTACAGGCACACGTGACAGAACTGCACACATACTCAGCACACACACAACACTCCTAGGCACATGCACAACACACAAGAGGTGCACGCACTTCTAGGTATTCACAGAATACAGACCTGCACCACACTCCCGGGCACAAGAAAAGCTCATGTAGATGCACAGACCACATGACTCGCCATACATACAACACAGAGCTACCCACAGCTATCCTAAGTATACAGACAACACTCCCAGGCATGTGTGCTCACACACACACACACACACACACACACTCAGGCAATAAGGATTTAAGTCTCTCCCAACCCTGGTGAGGTGGGGGGGACCGGGTTGGAGGACCCTACCCCACCAGAGTACATGTGCAAATGCAGGGCCTCTGCCTCTCCCTGACATTCCCGGAGGGGCTGCTGGGGTGGTGGCAGTCCCAGTTCCCGACAGGCACAGGAAGTCCGCAGACTCAGGGTGACCGATTGACCTTCAGGCCTCGCCCTCTCTCTACATCCCTCCTTTCTCATTTCCCAAACTTCTGGCGTCATTATGGGGGATTGAGAGGCATGGTTTGGGGACATAGGGGGAATCATCTGGGCGGCATGCCAAAGAAAAGATGCCAAGTGAACTCCTGTGACATCCGCATAGCACACAAGGGAGCGAGACATTCCCAACACAAACACTCAGGCACAAACCAGGCTTTCAGGAATGGACACGCAACACACAGAGGGGCACACACGTCACTCCTAGAGTGGAGATACAACAGAGGTCTGTGTGCACACATGCACACCTCCCCCCCTGCCGCCCAGCTTTCGAGGTCCTTTTTAGTGCTAGGGATGGACCCCAGGGCCTTGTGCATGCCACATATGCTCTATCCCTGAAGATCTTGCTTTTCATAAACCATACTCACTTGCTCTGGACCTGAGTCGGGAGCCGGACACAACACTGCCTGTGAGTGTGGGCCCCCGCACCCCGTGATCCCTTATCCAGACCCCCTGGAGAGCCCTAGGTTTGAGCTGTCCTCTTCTCTTCCTAAGGCCATGTGGGACGCCAGGCAGGTCACGTAACAACTCTCTGGGCCTCAGTTTCCAAATCCGTACAAAGGGCACACTCAGGCCCAAGCACTTGGTGCATATTGGGGATTATCAGGTGTCTGTCCAGCACATAACAGCTGGTCCCTATGGGCCCCCACACCTATCCAGTTCCCCAGATGGCCACAGGCCCAGATACTCCTCTCTGAAGCTCACCCCACAACAACCTCGATCCACACAACTCCTCACATGTAAACAGTCGGCAAAACTCTGGGCTGACTCAGATTTCAGAGTTAAAGAGCTGGCGTCAGAAGCAGGGTCAGAGCAGGACTTTCCTTGTCTTCACTTCTCTCTCAGTCCCGCCATCCCGTTACTCAGGCCCCTGTCTCATTCACTCTCACTCCCCACTTTCACAATCAGCTGCTAGAAATTCTTGGTTTCCTTCCCTCCTCCCTTTTTCTGACCCTGCAACAGAGTCATTTCTTCACTTTCATTCCTGGACAGGTCACTTGACCCTTTGTGTCTGTTTCCTCATCAGATAATGAAAATTTGACCCGGATCTAACTCACAGGGATGTTGTGGGGAATAAGTTAGGTAGTTTCAGGGGGAAAAACTGTTAACACACTGTCCAGCACACCGTAAATGTCAAAAAGTGTTGGGTAGTTTTATCATTGTTATTACTGGTTTGCCATTCCTTCCTTAATTGGCATTAATGAATAAGACAGTCACTGGGATTGACTGAAAGAGAATACACATACAAAATCTTCAGAAAAGTGCTTGGTATGCAGTAGGCACTCCATAAGTGCTGGCAGAGGTTTATACTGTGCTGTGATTGTTGAGGTAACTTGTCTAAGTTAACGAAGCTTAATTAGCAAGGGGGTAGTAGAGAGTGACTGAGATGCTTTACACAAAGACCTTAGCACAGAGTACACAGTAAGTGCTCAATGAGTGTCTGCTGTCATCACTATCACATTCTTATTGTCTATCCTCTCTGAATTAACAGAGGGTTAATCAGAACCCTTCTGCAGGACCCCAGGGAATATCCCTGCATCATCAGGAAGCTGGTGGGTAGGGGTTGCCTCATCCCATCCCCAAATAGGGGCGTGGGATGGTTGGTGGGGAAGGGGCAGGGCAGGATGGGCTGGTGATCCGGTTTCTAATGACTCACCAGCTTCTCTCACCACCACTCAACCCCCTCCCAATGTTCGCTAACGCTGCCCGCACCATTCCCTGCTTGCCAGGACTGTGCCACGCCTCGGTTTGGATCCCAGGGCCAGGGAGCCTAACTCTGAATCCCAGCCATGCCCAGCATGCCTGGGAAAGTTCGCCAGTCCTTCTATGGCTCATCTGCCCTCTGTTTCCTGCCTCAGAGGCTTGTTGTGAGTTCTCAGAGAAATTACTTTGAGTGCCCGTGCACAGTCAGTAGTATATAAATGCTGGTTATTTGCGTGTGTGTGTGTGTGTGTGTGTGTGTGTGTGTGCGCGCGCGCGCACGCACGCGCGCAAAGTGGCGCTGGAGATGGAACCCCTGGCCCCACGAATGCCGGGTCAGGCCTGCCTGTTTTTTGAGGAAGGATGCTACCTGGGCTCTGGCTCCAGGCCACCTCAATTCCAGTCCCAAGTTCTGGCACTTACTGTCTCTGTGATCTTGGCTAAGTCATGGGCCCTCTTGGTGTCTTGGTTTTCCCACTTTGTACTTCTCCCTCATGTCCCTCCACTGCGTCTCCTTATGTACTCTCTGCCACCCCTCACCAGAACGGCGAACACACCAGGAAAGCGATTCTTGTGGGCTTGGCACACAATTGATGCACAATAAATACTTAGGAGTGAACTAGTCCGGCCTTCAGGCATGGCAAGTTTGGGGATGCGGGGATCGGAGGGCCTTGGTGGACTTTGGGGCTCGCGCTCCCTGAAGCTCCTAGGAAGCAGCTGCGAAGGAATGTCCACGACGTGGAGGGGGAGGGGCGGCGGCGGGCGGGGGAGGGTGTATCTTCTTTGGGCAACCCTAGGCCCGCCCCTAGGCCTCGGCTGGGATGGTGGGCGGATGAGTAATGCATCCAGGAAGCCTGGAGGCTGTGATTTCCGCGCCAACCCCGCCCCTCGCGTGGACATTTATCCTCTACGGCTCAGGCCCTGCCGCCATCGCCGCTGATCGGGCGCCCAGAGAGACACAAGGTAAGCAGAGACCGGACCGGTGTCCCCCGCAGGGCTGGGGCTGGGCTGGAGCCCATGCGCTGGCCACCAGGCTCATCCAGACCCCTGTGAGATGCCTGACTGCTCAGTCTGGCCTGCGATACCAGGACCCCGGACTGGTCGAGGGGAAACGAACGGGGTAGGGGGCAGAAGGGGGACTGCTTCCCCAAGCTCGGCTCTCCAAACTCCCTTGGACCCCTAGCATCGTCCCCAACTGCCCCAAACCTATGACCCAGGATACCACAAAGGCCTCCCGACCTGCCAACTCCCCCTAATTCCCTCCTTGTCCACCAAATCCCCACCCCCACCCCCTGCAGCTCCCTAAACTCCCAACTCCTGCAGCTCCCTAAACTCCCAACTCCTCCATCTCCAACTGCCTAAACCTCAAACTTCCTCTGCCTTCAAAATCCGCAAACATTACCATTGCCTTAAGCCCCTCAACTCCCCCAACCCCTCAACTCCTAACCCTCCAGCTCCCCAACGAACCCCACAACCTCTTCCAAATTCCTCAGTCTCCCTAAATTTCCCCAGTCCCTCTATCCCTTAATAGGTGCAACCCCTGGACTCCCAGCCTCCCCCATACTACTCCAGCCTCTCCAACCCCCAAATTCCTCACCCCAAACTCCTCAGCCTTCAGACTTCCCCAGCTCCCTTATTCACCAAGGGCCACAACTCCACTCAATCCCCCAATTCACTCAGTCCCCTAAATCACCGGAATCCATACTTCCAAGCTCTCCCAACTCTTTTAAGCTCCTAAACTCTGGACTACCCAACCCCTTAAGATCCCCAGGCTGGAGATGTGGCTCAAGTGGTATTGTGCCTAACTAGTAGGCTGCCAAAAAAAAAAATAAAAAGATCCCCAGACTCCTCAACCTCAAATAGAGTCCCCTAATTCCCCCAGGTTCCTAGGACCACAGATCAGCTGGGTGGGGGTCTGTCTAACACCCCCCTCTCCCAACAGAAGCCACCATGGCCCCCTTTGCACCCCTGGCCTCCAGCATCCTCTTGTTGCTGTCGCTGATAGCCCCCAGCAGGGCCTGCACTTGTGCCCCACCTCACCCTCAGACAGCTTTCTGCAAATCGGACCTCGGTGAGTCTGGTCCCCTCCCTGCCCACACACACTTTCCCACTGTCCAGTGGGGCTCACTATAGTGGCTACCTCTTGAACACTTCCACTTACCCCTGCATATCTCTGTTTTGGCCACACTGGCATCATCACACTTCCATGAGTAGGCCATGGCCTCATGGCCTTTGTGCTGGCTGCGACCTCTGCCTGGTACCTTCCTCTAGGTATCCAGAAGGGTGGTGACCTCAAAAGTCACCTTCTCAGGGATGCCTTCTCTGACCACCCTGTTTAAAATCTTAACCCCTGCCCCTTAGTACTCCCAATACTCTGTTAAATAAAAAAATATTTAATGATACTTGTCAAGGCACAATATGGCCGACTTTACTCGGGGCACAAGGTAGGGGGACTGTGGCAATGGGATTTTGCGGTGGGAGAGAGAAACTGGGTTCAACTTCCAAAGCAGTGTGGATAGGACTGTATAGCTGAGAAGCAGCTGAGGGGTCAGTGAAGGGAAAATGACTAAGAGGAGGCATGGGGCGGGGGAATTCTGGCTAAGCCCACATAACTGGATTCTTGCTGAAGGCAGACCGGGGTGTTCAGACACGACCTGGGGATGGCGGAGGATGTGGAACCTTGTCAGATATTAAGGGCAGCGCGGGAGCCCTCCTGGTTTCTCCGTTTAACCTGGAGTGGGAATGCTACGTGCGGGCTGGGGGTGTGGAGGGGTCAAAGTTTTGCCTCTTCTTGGTGGCTTTTCCTGTAAGGTGTATCTCTAGCGTCTCCAAGATTTTACTTTAGGGAGCACGCTTTCTGCTTCCTCCCTCTAGCCGCCATCTTGGAATCCTGTCACATATTAAGGGGAATCAGATGAGAGTGAGGGCGCTCCACTAAACCGACTTAGCAGGATTCTTTGCTAAATTCGGATTTTGCAAGAAAGTTCACAGATGGGCCTGGGCGAAGGCTCAGGAGCCTGACTAAAGTTTGGTCAAGCAAAGTATCTTTGTCACCCCCCCTACCCAGCTCTGTAATTCCTTGTCATACTTAATATCCTGGAACATTCCATATGCTTATTTATTTTTAGTCGGTCTCCTGGTGAGAGTGTGAGCTCCACAAGGGATTTCTATGTTTTGTTCGCTGTTGTGTACCTCCCTGGCACCCTGAACAGTGCCTGACAATACAGTAGGCACTCTGAAATATTTGTTGTTGAATGAACAAATGAATATATGAACAAGGCTTAAAGCAGTGCCAGGCAAAGAGTAGCCATTCGGTGTATAGATGAGTCAACGAGCAGATGTGTAAATCACTTAGTGTGATGTGCTGTCTTAGCCGGTGCTGTTAGGACGCATCTGCCCTTTGGTGGTACTATGATGATGACCACTTTATTTTTATTGACTCATGCCTCCCATTTGATTCCATCTCCCTCTCTTATAGTCATAAGGGCCAAGTTCGTGGGGGCCGCAGAAGTCAACCAGACCACCCTATACCAGCGTTATGAGATCAAGATGACTAAGGTATCCCCCGTGTCCCCTCCCTCGCAGTCCCTAACATCCTGCTCAAAATAGAAGCCTCTGGCCACCGGTTGGTGTGGACGTTGTCAGTAATCTCGGGATTTGGGTGTATGACTTCAGGGAAGAGCTTGGAGTGGGAGGATGATGTCAGTAAAAGACTCTTCCCCTCATCCATCAACAGATGTTCAAAGGATTTGACGCCCTGGGGCATGCCGCGGACATCCGGTACGTCTACACCCCCGCTATGGAAAGCGTCTGCGGATACTTCCACCAGTCCCAGAACCGCAGCGAGGAGTTTCTCATCGCGGGTGAGGCCCCGCCCCTCTCGCCCTAGGCCACACCCTCCGTCCTCAGCCGCCCTGGCAACTGGGAGGGAGCGAGGCACTGAAGGGAATGGTCCTGGTTGAAATGGAGACCGCCCAAATTTCAGCCTATCAGAAGGCTAGGACTTTGCCTATCCCGGTCTGTAGGACTAGGGCGTCAATCAGACGCCACCCTCCCGCCCAGCCAATCAAAGGCCGCCTCTTGGTTTCCCCTCCTCCCTCTCAGGACAACTGCGAAACGGGGACTTGCACATCACCACCTGCAGTTTCCTGGCCTCCTGGCACAGTCTGAGCGCTGCTCAGCGCAAGGGCTTCACCAAGACCTACACTGCTGGCTGTGAGGCGTGCACAGTGAGTGCCCGGGCCCTGCCTTCCACCTGGAGATGGTTCTTAGGGTTTCTCAAACCGTGGGCTTGTTAATTCTTCCTCTGGTCATTCCTTGACCTTGTTGGCTACTCCCCAAACCCGAGGGCTGTCCTTGATCTCTCTTGCCATTTCCCCAGACCCGAGACTGCTCCCTGGGAAATTCTAGTTGTTCTTTTGTCCTGTGTCTGATACCTTAGGATTGCCTGTTTGTTCCCTGCACCATCTCCCGTGTCTAACTCTCCCTTGTGACTTTTGTGATCCCATTGCCTGTTGCTGACCTCCGGGATTGTATTTTGCTTCCCTAGAATGTGCTCCAAGAATCCAAAGTGCCATTCCCCTAAGCCACTGACTCTTCCCCAGCACATCTCACTGTTGCTCTGCCGCTCTGATTGTTTCACAGACCAGGGAGATACAGTGACCTGTGACTATTCCAAGGCTGATCCCCATGGCCCCTGAATATCCTCTGACCCCAATGACTGACTAGGAGTCCCACTGGCTACTCCTACTCTTATGCTCTCTGAGTGCCAACTGTTTCCTCCTGCTATCAGTTGTTCCCTGCCCCATGGGACAATTCCCCTGCAGATCTCAAGCAACTGTTCCCCAACCACCATTCCAGAACATTGATCCTCTCCCTGGCTTACTGTTTCCCCAATGGGAGGGGTTGTTGGGCAACAGGAGGTCTCCCCTCCAGCAGCCCAATGTTGCAAGCTGAGGCGAGAAGGGGAGGGAGAGGAGGAGGAGGAGGAGGAGGAGGAAGAGGAGACCTCAGAGATGGGTCACTCTGTCTCTCCTCCAGGTGTTTCCCTGTTCCTCTATCCCCTGCAAACTGGAGAATGACACTCACTGCTTATGGACAGACCAGCTCCTCCTTGGCTCTGAAAAGGGCTTTCAGAGCCGCCACCTCGCCTGCCTGCCAAGGGAGCCAGGGCTGTGCACCTGGCAGTCCCTGCGGACCCGGGCGGCCTGAAGCCCAGCATAGCATTAACCTCCTTCCCACTCCCATCTTCCTTTCTACCAGACGGTGAAATAAAGAACTACCACCCAGCAGACACTGTCTCAGTGTAGTCCCTGGGAATAAACCCATGTCACTGATAACCTGGTGGGAGCACCAGGACCAATGAGCGGGGAGGGATGCGAGATGTTGGGTTTGAGGGCTGAGGGTGGGGGTGTAGCTGAGTGGTTGAGCGCTTGCCTAGCATGTAGGAGGCGCTGGGTTCCATCCCCAGCACCCCCCAAAGAGATATTTTACATAAAATTTGATGCATTGGCAATCATCTCAATACTGTATTAGCACTACTGATTTGCAAAACCAGTAATGGTCATTTATCTACACTATCAAGTGCAATTTATTCAATGCTTTCTCTACTCAATACTTGAATACATTTTACTCTAGTTATTTCTAATTCCTATTTGCCCAGGGCTCTCTAGTTAACAAATGATCCCAGAGCTGTAAATTCCCCTGTCCACAAACCTCACCAGTTAACAGATTCATTGTGAAATGCTCTCCTTGCCTCAGGCATTGTCCTGATGCTATCTAGTGGGGATGCCCCACCCAAACTTCTCATTGCCCCCACCTTAGGTTTTGTGCTGTTAAGTCTGACTTAAGTGAAAGGAGGGGGACTCAGGGATGCCATTTAACCTAGTCAGGGACTCTGGAAGAAGGGATAGCCTTGATTCCCCAACCACAGCCTGCAGAATACCTTAGGAGGGGTTGTTTGGGGCACAGGAGAGGAGGGATGTAGAAAAGGGATCACCCCAAATCCCCAAGCTCTGCCATGTCCCAACCTCCTTTCTCCTCTCATTCCCCTGGCCAACTCTGCGGGAAATACTGAGCAATGAAATGTAGGTGGGGTTTTAAATTTCAGGGCCACCCAAGTACACAGACACACTCCTGCACTGCCTCCTCTACCCAGCTGTTCCCCTACCCACACTGGGGTCTCTGGACCTGACCCTCACCTTCCTGGCTCATCTTCCTCCATAAAACTCGAGTGTGAGACTCTCCAAACACTAACCCCTACAGTTGGGGTTCCCACAGCTGGACCTCACCCCTTCTATCTCTTCACAGCCCCTTGTTCCTGTCCCTGGAACTCCAAAGGTCCTACTCCAAGTGAGAACCGTAGGAACCAAAATTTCAGATTGGGCTACTCAGTGGAGCACCCAAGTGTCCTGATGACCAGAATTTGCTTGAAAAAGACTCTAGTATGTCTTCCTTGGTGAAGAAAAGGACCCCCAAACTCCTTCCTATCAGACCACCCACTGCTCCTACCAATAAGAACCCAGGTCTTAGCCAGGCTTGGTGGTATACACCTGTAATTTCTGCTCCATAACAGGTACTTAGAAACTGCTTTTGCTAAAAACCACTGACTCCTCCTCACTTGGGCCTGCAAATGTCCAAAGGGTAAGTAAAAGCAGGAGAAAAGCTTGGCATCCCTGCCTCCATTTTGTATCTATGTCCTTTGCACAGTCAGTCTCTCCTGTAGTGACCTTGGACTCTAGGAAGATCAGGACTTCCTAGAAGAGCTTGTGACAACAGTCGAAACTGTCCCCCAGACAACAATGGCTTCTTTTTTTTTGCCTGTGTGGCTGTACTGGAGTAACAATGCCTTTCTTATCGTGACCAGGAAGGAGCTGCCCATCCTGAGATCATGATCAACCAGACCATACCTGTGACTGCCTCGGACCACCAAACTACACCTCTGACTGGGACTGTTTAATCATGCACACCTTTCGTCCCCTGCTGCAATGCTTCCTTCTTTTTTTTTTCGGTACTGGGGTTTGAACTCAGGGCCTACATCTTGAGCCACTCCACTAGCCCTTTTTTGTGATGGGGTTTTTCGAGATAGAGTCTCACAAACTATTTGTCCAGGCTGGCTTCGAACCGCGATCCTCTGCCTCCTGAGTAGCTAGGATTACAGGCGTGAGCCACCGGTGCCCGACACTTCTTTCTCTCTTTAAACTCAAAGCTCGTTTGTTCGTGTCTGTACCTGGAAGATGGCTGAAGTGCTCACTTGCCTCTTCCCGCTGTGTGTGGGAAATCTACTAAATCACCTTTCTCTGACCTTCACCTCTACTTGTCTCTTTATTTGGTGCGGTGAGTGGCCAAACCTGACATGTTGGAATCTCTGGAGTTTGGGCCTCTGGCCTAGAATTCCAGTAGCAGGACTCAGGAGGCTGAGGCAGGAGAATCACAAGCTCAAGATCAGCCTGGGCTACACAAACAGACCCTGTCTCAAAAGAAAAAAAAAACAGGCCTGGCACAGGTGGCTCAAGCCTGTAATCCTAGCCACTCAGGAGGCAGAGATCAGGAGGTTCGCAGTTTGAAGCCAGCCCAGGCAAATAGTTCTCAAGATCCTATCTCAGAAACACCATCACAGAAAAAGGGCTGGTGGAGTGGAATGGCTCAAGGTGTAGGCCCTGAGATCAAGCCCCAGTACCACAAAAAAAAAAAAAAAGAAAGCCAAAAAGAACCCAGGTCTTGGGCTGAGGTATAACTCAGTGTAAAGCACTTGCAAAACAAACCAAAAATACAACCAGGTCCAGGACATTCTAGGTAATTAAATGTGTGGTCCTGTCTCAGGACTTTGTATGCTCCTGGGAGGTTTTCCCAAGCCCAGCTTATACCCTGGATCAAGATGGGAAGAATTTTTTTTGAGACAGAGTCTCATTATGCAGCCCAGGCTGGCCTTGAATTTGTGATCCTCCTGCTTCAGCCTTTAGAGTGCTGGGATTACAGCCTTTAGAGTGCTGGGATTACAGGTGTGTGGGAGCACGCCCGGCCTAGACTGGGCAGATTTTGAGCACCCAGTACTTTTGAGCAGGGAATGCAGCAATGTCTGCATCAACACACACTTCAGTCATGCCTGGGAGGATCTGAACCCTGCCCATCAAAAAGGCCAAATGGTGGCCTTTGCTGATGGGTATGACTGTAAGGGAAGGGTGCAGGTGCTGTTTTGGCCCTGGTGACCTTGTTACTATTACCTCAGCTGCCTGCAAGACTTTCGCAGCTCCTGACAATGCAGCAAATCCCAATACCAGCTCCCTGAACTCCTGGTTCCCTGACATCGGGGCCCATTCCAGGAGCGTGAGCTAGGCCCTGGGAGGAAGGTAAAGTAGGAGGTGGCAGGGGAAGGATGGAACTCAGCGTGGAGGCCATTCTCCTGCCAACCTAACCACCCCGCAGGTAGGACTTGCACCTAGACCCCATGCAACATGGACAGGGCTGAGCAGTACCTCTGGGGACGCTGAGTCCAGAACAGCATACAAGGCCACAGCCTCTAGATACCTCATGAGCTCCTGATAGGATCTATAGTCCTGGGATCTCCACATCCCCACGACCCTTTAGGAAAGTGCATTGAAGTGGACACCCCTGGCAACTGGTGTGTCTGTGTGCAACTGTCTTCAGGACAGACTCTGAGGGCTGAGAGGAAGCGTGTGGGGATCACAACCCTGTGGTGATCTGTGCAGCACGGGATCCAGTTCAGTGGGTGGTCTGCGGGCCCAGCCTTACCTCACTGGAGCCTCAGTCCTCCTCCCTAACAAATGGGCCTCACGGTCCCTTCCCAGAATCCTTCAGAGGTCTGCACTAGGGTTGGAGGATGATTATGGGGTGAATTTGCCCCTTGGATAATTTTTAGGTCAAAACACATGAAACTGTCAGGCTGGGAATGTGGCTCAGAGATAGAATGCTGCCTAGTGTCACAAAGCCCTGAGTTTGATACCCAGCACCGAAAAACAAGCACATGAAACTCTCATAACAGTAACCTAATGTGCAATGCCACTAACAGTGTCCTAATTTCTAGACAGGCAGTGTAATATACTAGTTTAGAACTTGAGCCCTTAGAGCCGCATCATCTGTATTCAAATCCTGCCCTGCTATGTCCTAGTTCTGTGTCATCAGGGAAATGATACTGCCATCCTGTGCCTCAGCTCCCTCATCTGTAAAATGGGGAGAGAAAGCAAGCCCACTTCACAGGAACAACGTGCATATTAAATGAAGCAATAAGTGTAAAGTGCTAGGCGTGTAACACAAGCAGTAGTAGTTATAGTAAATATAACTTAATATATAACATTACTAATGATAATTAGCAGTAGGGATTATTACAATGCTGCAAATAAATTTTTTGGCCATACTGGGGTTTGAACTCTGGGCCTCACGCTTGCTAGGCAGGCACTCCACCACTTCAGCCACTCCTTCAGCCTACAAGTAATGTTTTTCATTAGTGTATATTAATTGTACAAAGGGGTTTCATTGTGATGTTTCCACATGTGCATATAAAATACTTGCTCATATTCATCCCCTCTACTATATTTTCTTATCCCCCCTTTTTATGTAATTTAATGGGTCTCATTATTCTATTTTCATAATGTTTGATACTAGGAATAATAGACAATATTGGAAACTCCATATAATATTAGTAGCAGTAATTCAACGCACTCTGGGAATCTCAGTTTATCATGATTATGATAATCTCCCTTAGAGACGTAGCACATATTTTGTACGCTCATTTGCAATCTCCTTCTGATGAAAACCCCTCCACTGACAAACGCCACCATTTTCAGACTTCTAAAGAAACCCATTCACCCACCCCGTGTTCTCGCTGCAGACAAATCCCCACTTTACAAATCCACTGTTGCCAAGGCTGCAGAGGACAAATCCCCAAGGTCTTGCAAATCTTTGCTTTGATTAGACCTCCATCCTCACTGAGATAAATCCTCTCTTTCACAAATACCCCATGAAGAAACACCTTTTTATTCATAAATATTTCATTGCCCATCTCTCCACTGATCACCCCCACTGACAAAAGTCCCCACTCACAAATACCCAGCTGCAACATGTTGCCTGCTGTTGGACCCCAGCCACAAATCTCTCCTCAGAACTCCCTGCCCAGCGGGGTCTCCTCAGCTGGTAATCTCCATTTGGGAATGACTTTCTACGGCAGAATTCCCATTGACAACCTCTACTGGAAAATTTCCCATTCACACTACTTGACT